TGGGGCAGGAATGGGGGGCAAGGGTGGCCCCAGCTGGGGTCAGGCCATGCAGAGAGGCCAGGCCCGTGGCAGTGCTTGGAAGGGCTTTTCCCCCTCCCCTGTGATACTGGGGCAGCGCCCCCAGGCAAGGGGTCAGTGTGTGACTCCCAGGGGGCAAATGTCCTGTGGCAGTGCTTGGAAGGGCTTTTCCCCCTCCCCTGTGATACTGGGGCAGCGCCCCCAGGCAAGGGGTCAGTGTGTGACTCCCAGGGGGCAAATGTGTCCTAGGAGGTTTGGATGCTGAGACCTGGAGTCTGGGCCAAAGTGCCATGGAAAATGACACTTCCCTGCCCCCCACACACGGGCCTGTGGCAGTGCTTGGAAGGGCTTTTCCCCCTCCCCTGTGATACTGGGGCAGCGCCCCCAGGCAAGGGGTCAGTGTGTGACTCCCAGGGGGCAAATGTGTCCTAGGAGGTTTGGATGCTGAGACCTGGAGTCTGGGCCAAAGTGCCATGGAAAATGACACTTCCCTGCCCCCCACACACGGGGCCATCATCCACCCCCTCCTGTTGCTCCCCAGCAGGCCCCTGGCCAGGCGGAGAGGGGCCCCCACTCAGATCAGCCCCCTGGGCCCAGCCAGCCGGGCAGTGCCTCCCCCTCCTGATTGTACTGCGGGGAGGTGGGTCCTAGCCCTGTCCCACAGCAGGGAGTTCCACAAATTAACAGCGTTCCGTGGCCCCGCCCCTGCCAGATGCTGACACCTCTCTCCCTGAAGGCTCACTGCTGTGTGCAGTAGGGGTGCAGTGCCATAGGGCAGGGGGTGGTGACCGATGGGAGGGGGCATGCAGTGCCTCCCCCTCCTGATTGTACTGCGGGGAGGTGGGTCCTAGCCCTGTCCCACAGCAGGGAGTTCCACAAATTAACAGCGTTCCGTGGCCCCGCCCCTGCCAGATGCTGACACCTCTCTCCCTGAAGGCTCACTGCTGTGTGCAGTAGGGGTGCAGTGCCATAGGGCAGGGGGTGGTGACCGATGGGAGGGGGCATGTCTT